TGTTTTTCAACCTTTTTTGTGCAAAGGCACACTTTTTTCATGAAAAAAATCACGAGGCACACCACCATTAGAAAATGTTAAAAAAATTTAACTCTGTGCTTATATTGACTATATATAAAGTAATTTTCCCACGGCACACCTTACACTATGTCACGGCACACTAGTGTGCCGCGGCACAGTGGTTGAAAAACACTGCCCTAATCATCTTAGTTGCTCTTCTCTGCAGTCTTTCTAGAGTCTCCACATTTTTTCTACACTGTGGCGACCAAAACTGGATGCAATATTCCAAGTGTGGTCTTAGGTAAACGTAAGGGTTCCCCTGCGTATGCGTGCTAACTGTTCCTGACTCTAGGAGGCAGTACTCATCTCAGTTTCAAAGCCGAAGAGCCAGCGCTGTCCGAAGATGCCTCTGTGGTCATGTGGCTGGCATGACTCAATGCCGAAAGCGTATGGAGCACTGTTACTTTCCCACCAAAGGTGGATCCTATTTCCCTACTTGCATTTTTTACATGCTTTCGAACTGCTAGGTTGGCAGAAGCTGGGACAAATAATGGGAGCTTGCTCCGTTACGTGGCACTGGTGATTCGAACCTGCTGACCTTTCTGATTAGCCACTGAGCCACCGGTAGCTGTGATCTTGATTCTATCTCTCTTCAAGAGCAGCAAATTAAAAACCTCCTAAAAAATGGCAAATTAAAACCTCCTAAAACAGTCATTACATCAAGCAGGGCATTATATATCCAGTCAACAGCCTTAATTAATGTATGGAGCTACTTTAGGTGAACAGTCCTAAGGCCAGGGTGGGTGGGGGAAAATGATATTTCACGTCTCCAGATGTTAATGGAAGCAGGAAAATCTGGTTTCAAATAGAGAGAAATCTACAGACAACAGTCTTCCGCTGGGAAGCTGTGAGGTAAAGGATTTAGTGATCATGGCATTCATTCCCAAAATTGTCAATGTTCAAAAGGAGTCACCTTGGTGAACCAAAGGAAATCCTGCATCAGCAAGCAGGAATAGGAGTCATCGATCTCCACCACAGGGACCTGGTCTTCTGGGGTCACCAGAATGTTGTCATCTTTGTAGAATATGGAGGCGAGATAGAGACCCCTGAGAAGAGAGAACATATTTGGGATTTGGAGTTTTTTTTGTCATGAATTTTTATTAAAATAGTAAATGTAGAAAAATGGAAATAATAGGAAAGCAGTGTAGGAGAAGGAGAAGGAGGAGGAGGAGGAGAAGAGGACGACGACGGTGAGGAAGAAGAAGGAGGAGAAGGAGAAGGAGAAGAAGGAGGAGGAGGAGGAGGAGGAAGAGGAGAAAGAAGGGGGAGAAGAAGAAAAAGAGGAGGGGTGGACCAGGAGGAAGAGGAGGAAGGAGGAGGAGAGGAGAAAGAGGAAAGCAGTGGAGGAGAAGCAGGAGGAGGAGGAGAGGACGACGGTGAGGAAGAAGGAGGAGGAGGAGGAGAAGAAGAAAAAGAGGAAGGGGTGGACAAGGAGGAAGAGGAGGAAGAAGGAGCAGTAGAGGAGAAAGAGGAAAGAGAGGAGGAGGAAAAGGAAAAGGAGGAGGAGGAGGAGGAGGTAAAAGTGAAAAAATATGGAAGTTCTTGGTCATCCGTCATGGTTGTCCCAAATGTGCTTTCTTTTTTCAAGTGGTAACTGGACTTTCTTTATTTTTCCTTGAAAACGTTTCACTTCTCATCCAAGAAACTTCTTCAGTTCTGACTGAACCGTGGAGAATGGAAAGATTTATATTCCTTTCTAACTGGTTAATGACCAGTGGACTGCAAGGAATATAAATCCTTCCATTCTTCACCATTCAGTTGGAGATTCAGATTCTTGGAGGAGACGCAGAAGGTCTTTAAAGAAAAACACGGGAAGCCCAGTTGTCTTTTAAAAACACACCATTGAGTAAAAGGGAAAAAAAAAAGAAAAAGACTTCAGATTCTTTTTAACGCAGTAAAATGAGATCATAATATACACTCTCAACTTTGTACTTTTGCCTAATAATACCTACAAGCCATTTCTATAACAACAAACCTATCAAATCAGCTAAACCCTAAACCAAACTTTTCATTCTTCCCCCCCACCTTGAGCACAAAGTCCAGAAACGGTTTCCAAAAAGAAACAAAATTAATTCTAGTCTTTCCTTTAATCAAAGGAGCCAAGGTGGTGCAGTGGTTAAATGCAGCACTGCAGGCTACTTCAGCTGACTGCAGTTCTGCAGTTCAAACCTCACC